AGGGTCCATGTACCGCAATAGTATATACATTGGCCTTAAACTAGTCCCTATATAGGTACTTTGGGGCCAATGTATATACTATATGAGTACATGGACCCTCAGGGTATTCCGAAACCCTAAACCCTAAACCCCTAAACCCCTAAACCCTAAACCCTAAACCCTAAACCCAAAAGCAGCTCGTCCGTGCGGTGCGTTTGTTGCGGTCAGAACTTCGGTTCGGACACGGCCTGCGCCCCCGGGCCATCGACAAACAGAGACCGGCTTTGGGGTTGAACTAGGGCCAATAACTAATGGTTTTAAATTAGGGCCAATTAGGGTTTTGGGCCAGTGATGGGTTTAATTTGGGCGAATTTGGGTTTAGACTTTCGTCGCTTTTTGTTCAATAGTGTTTTCTGATGGTCCCCCCCGCCCCGGTGTGGCAGGTGCCGTGCTTCTTTCTGATCTCCCCGCCTTGCGAGTGTCAAGGTTGCAGTGGCACAAGTGCCGGGCCGTCGGCAGTGGGAGAGCGGTCGGAAGTGTAGCTCATGTGCAACACGGCTGTGACAGCGATCCCAGATTAGGGTGCGCAAGCAGGGGGTGCCTATATCTCCCTCAAGCTCACGGATGAGCACTGAGGTGAAGAGATGAGGTTTGAATCGGAGTGGCCTGTCCACGGATCTGAAGATGCGAGACTTTGGCTAGTGAGTCTGAGCTTTACCGCACTGTGTACAACTCCTAAACCCACCCACTATAGAATCTTTATAATGGAGAGGGGTCATTCCGCCCCAAAACCCTACACCCTAAACCCACAAAGCAGACCCCAAACCCTAAGCCCCAAACCCCAAACGCTTCAGCACTTTCTGTTCTGAAGCCCGCGCGCCTTCTAAGCAAAAAACCGAGCCAGATCTAGAAAAAGCTTGGGTCAAAGAGTTTGGGGATGTGTGGTTTAGAACTTAAACTTCGGGGTCTAAGATTCAAAACCAAATGATATGAAAAGATCAAGAGATGATATTCCTAAACCCTACCCAAAGGGTCATACCTACCCCTTTTTTACAGTAGCTAGTTTTATGGCTAGGATCTGTTATATACAAGAGTAGGTACCTTAAAAAAAGGGGTAGGGTATGACCCTGTAGGTACGGTAAACCCTGCAACAATACAACAGCCCCCGTCGCATGGCAGGCGAGTCTTGCCTCGCTGCTTCAGGGGCGAAAGGCTGTTTGTTGGGTGCGTGGGTTTGGTTTTAGGGTTTTGGGGTTTAGGGTTTAGGCGTTTAGTGTTTAGGGGTTTAGGGTTTAGGGTTTTGGATTCAGGGTTTAGGGTTTAGGTGTATGGGTTCTGAGTCGTGCAGTCTTTCTGTTAGACAGCTTTTGTATGGTTGTTTACAGGTGTTCGGGTTTAGACTCCAGGAGTTCCAACAGTAATAGCAGCAGCCGTAGTAGTAGCAGTAGTCGTCGGTAGCTACTGAGTTAGATCCTTGTTCGCCGTACTGACCGTTTGTACTTGTGACGGTAGATGGCTTCGGTCTGGCAAACCACGTTGGTTACTATTCCAAATTATAGTTATGCCGGCCCCTATATCGTACAAAGAGTGGCTATGACACGTACAGCACGGGAGCACCTACGAAGACGAGGAATCGCACTTAG